GATCCAGATCCCCTCCTTTGTAGCTTTCGTCGATTGTAACACGATAAGAGCGGTAAGTATAACCTAGCTCTGGTGAATAAACCTTTATATGCTTGGTGGTGTCTTTTGAGTATCCCAGGAATATCCCAACCCTTGCTGTGTCGCGAAGTTTATCATGCCTTTGTCCTTTTGGGATGGTTTTGGGGTTGATATAGGCGTAACATCGACTCCCCCAGACCTTGCATGTATCGATATCTGGTAATGTGCCTGTAAATGCTTCGAGTGGGCTTCGATCGATTCCATTTGCATCTGGGCCAATACTAGTGCGGTTTCGAATGTATACGTCGTGCTCGACAGCTTCGTCCCAAAATTCTAATGGTAAATGAGCTTCTTTCAACATTGCTCTCATGTCGGTTTCTGCGGTGCGTATATTGCGTTCAGCTGGACCATTTTGGTGAGACGATACAACCACTGTAACCTCTGATCGCACACCAGTCTTCCATTCCCGGACGGCTTGAAGAAGCTCTGGTGCATTGTCGGTTCTGGCAGCAATTACAGCTACTCCTGTAGCAAGTTCAATTTCTTGCTTCCAGGCTTTCAGTAAGGGTATTGCATCGCTCTTCTGTTTCAATAGGATGACCCAATTTACCCTTGTGGCGCTATCGATAATAAGGAGAAAGTATCTGTGCCCTCGAATGGTCCTTGGGAAAGGGCCAGCAACATCGAAATGGATCAATTCTAGCCTTTTGGATTTTCGTGCACTTAGTTGACTTGGGATTCTGTTAGTCATCTTTGTGAGAGCGCACACTTCACAGACATCAAGAGTTGAAGGGACCTTGATCGGTCTCTGGAGTGTAGTGACTTTGTGCAGATTCCTGATTTTGTCAGGGCCGAGATGATTGAAGCGTCTATGCCAGATAAGGTATCTTTCCTTCTCCGTCATGGTTAATTCTTCGACTTCCCCTTTTGTACCATCAATGATCTCTGCAGAGAGCGCAAAGAATGCAGAATCTTCGTATCCTGGTTTCACATGCGAGATGATGTACATCCCATCTTTCATTGTTGCTTTGATGATCTTATTATTCTTATCGTTTTCTGGTGTGAAATACATCTTCTTGAGACTGAATGTACCCTTGAGTCCTGCCTCACAAATTCTCTTGGCTGAGAGCAGGTTGACCCCCAATCCAGGTACATATAGCACACCAGCTAATGATGTCCTTGTTCCATCCTTGCACACCATGTCCACTGTTCCTCGCTCATCCGAGTACATAGCTCCCCCACCAACCGTTATCCTTCGTCGCGGAGTACGAATTAGACTTCTGAATAGAGAACGTTGGTCAGACATGTGTGAAGTGGCGCCGGTATCAGCGTACCATTGCGATGGGGATGCCTTACTAATACTTTCTTTGGTGAGATGACAATGCTCAGAATCAGACTCACTATCGACGACACTTTCAGTAGCATCGGAGCTTGATTCGGCGATATGAGCCTTGTGCTCCCTGCGTTTTTTGTCTTTTCGCACTGGAGAGGTGGATTGTCTTCTCTTCTGTTTGTGCTTTGAATCGGATTTCAAGAGACGCTTGGCGCGACGGAGCTGGAAGCATTTTAGGACTGAGTGGCCAGGTTTGTCGCAGAGTTCGCAAGTGATGATGGATGTGTCGGTCTCCGAGCTTGTGCTAGCCTTACGCTGGCGATGAGGTGGGACATATTTCTTTCCTTTTGCAAGGTGTGCCGAGTCTCCAGAGGTCTGGATCTCTGCCTCTTTGACCTGTAGATGCTTGATCTTATCGTCAATGCTTAGAGTAGAACTGACGACACGGATCATATCAATGATGACTTTGTACTCATCAGGGAGAGACAAGGTCAGGCTTTGAAAGAGTGATTTATCTGTACACAAAGCACCGGCTGAAGCATCCGCAGATAAGAGCTTTCGTCGAAGATCCTTGAGCTTATCCCATGCACCTATAATAGTCATATCAGGGGTATCGTCGAAAGAGAAGGTCTTGATCTTGAGGAGGTACTCGTCTGCTGCGATATCATCGATTCTGGAGTATTTGACGGCTAGATAATCCCAAAGTTTCTTTGCTGTATCATATTCGTCCACTAAAGCCTCATCATCGTCAGATAATGAGCGACAGATGTAAGATAATGCACTAGCGTCGTCCTTAAGAAAGGTGGCCTTTTTGTCGATATTGAGTCGAATCTTTGTAGTGGTACTGCCGCTGCCGCTGGAGACTTGAAGTTCTTCGAAATCCTGGATTAAGTTGTCGGCTGCTGCAATCCGTGCATATTCATGCAATGTCTTTTCGCATGTATAGAACCAACCTTTTCCTCGAAGTTGAATTCTTATTTGACGAGTCCAGCGTTCGTGATTCTCTTGAGTGAGAGGAGGGATGCGCTTGGAGTAATCCTTGGATCCAGTGTCTTCGTTCATTTTGAAGGTTCTGCAAGTAGAAAGCTTGCGTCGATGACCTAGGCGTGATTGATGGTGGAATGAAAGAGTGGAAGAGGAACTGTTTAAGACTGCGCTGTCCCGATTGGGATGTACTAGTGTTTGAAGGGAGAAATTCTCTTCAAGGCGGGGTAATTAAGAATAGTGAATTTTGATTTGTAGATAATGATTTTTGAAGTGATATCGAACACTATGTAGCAGGTGATGCTCTTCAGCGTTAAGCTGGAATGAATGGTCTTTTCAGTAATAACTCGTAGTTTTCTTACTTGAGGAAAAGGCGCGATGTAAGTGGTTACTTCGCTGTCGCTGCTCAGCAATCTGTTTGCTGTGCGCACCTCGTATGTTGACGTCGCGTTGCGTAGGAGCTTCTCGTCGTCAACCTCTCCTTTGGCAACGTAAGCTATTCAAAGAGCTTTCGGCCTTAGTCTTACTGCAGAGCTACCGGGCTCATAACCTGTTCACAATAAAGGAGCAGGCCAGTGGAATGCATGTATTATTGACTATGTAGATTAATTGTACTAAGGTAAAATCTAACTACGAAGTGGAAGTGATATATGCACAGTAGCTTAGAGCACGTGCCACAACTTCCAACAAGAATCATAAATCAATATTATTCTAGAACTAACTTATTACAAAAAGAATAATATTAAATATATATATTTATCATTATATTTAAATCATTTAACTCAGTTTTTTAATATTGAATATTTTAATATTTTAAAATAAGAATATGATATTCAAATTGAGAGATTTATAAGAGTACATATTAATTATATCTTAAAGATTGAATTCTTTATAGTTTTTAAAGTTATATATCAATGATTAATTATAAATCAGAATATGAAAGCTAGGTTTCGAAAAGCAGGATTAGTTTCATTTGATTTTAAAGTAATGCTTTTCAAATTAGATATTCGAATTCATATATCTACTCCCCCCTCTTTCAATTTAAATCTCTAAGTCTTTTAAACTCCTTATAATCCTATAAAAGCTTTTTCTTAATTAACACTAATTAAATCTCAAATAACTTATTATCAATTAAGTTCTTCTACACTTTTATTTGAGATTATATTAACTCTAATTAAGAGTACAAAAAGATTAGCATATAAAAATACACTTTTAAATATAGAAAACCATATACTTCAAAAAGCTAATAAAACATTAAGCCAATATTAATATATAAAAAAGATATAAATATATTAAAGAGAAGTATTTACTAAATAGAAAACTATAAATATATTATCTCAATAAAAAGTTGATATTCAGATTCAATACAATAAATATCAAAATAAAGAGAATTCTAATAAGAAAGTATCTTTTAATCAATATTATAATAATTATAAAAAGACAGATTATAATACAAGAACTTATCAAATTGATATAATAAATTCTAGATTATTAGATTCTTAATAGCTTTAATTAATTGAATCAATAGTTATTGAATAATATGAATTTGAATATGTCAATTGAGGTGAAAGTGATCCACTCGATGATATGACCCACTCGGTGATGAATCACGTTATCCCATATTGTGATTGGTGATAGTTTATTTGCAAGTTGCTGCGTATCTAAGCTTCTCATAATCTACACCATTTTTCTCAGTACCAACAGTGAGCCAGCTTCTCCACGGGCCAAATACTATATCCGCGATGCAACAGAACCTGAGCATTGGGATAAAAGTCCATCTGCTGCGGACCATGTTGGCATAAAAATTTGACGATTGTGGGTGCGATGTCACAAACATTCATGTAGGATGTTATGGTGAGATATATAAGTTCGGTTGAGTTCAGATCGTGGGAGAGGGTGGTGATGCCTGGGTACATTTAGGGAAGCTCTTAAACTAACACAATCTTTGAGACAAAGCCTCAGAGAAGAGACAAGATCGCTGCGAATCCTAAGAGGAAACTCATGAGGCACTTTTGTCTGGTGGTAGATGAGGAGCACAAGATGGCATGCTATGTTCTGCTCTCCGGACTTTGAGCTTTCCATATTCGTGGACATCATGTTCCCAGGAACTGTTTTATCAACGGGCTGCTCCTCCAGTTCGGAATGCTCTTGAAGTTCGTGTATCTTTCACGGCACTAACATATACCTAGTCCTTACTCTCCAATACAGCGTAGGATTATGAGGTGAGTACCCAGGCCAAAGCTTGGTACTCCGCTCTCCTCCTGTCAGTCACGAGAGAATCAGGAGACTTGCTTTTATCGATCATGTCAATCAGCTCAAATATCCGTTGCCTGTCTTGAGGCTTTAGAGAAGATTTTGGTCTGCAAAAAGGACGCGACACTTGCAGAGCAGTCGATTTGGTGCGTAGATTCAAGTACATATCCGTTGGTTGCGTAGCATTAGCTATAGATACCTAGAACTGAATCGATTATGAATTTACTACTACTATCCGTTGGTTTCGAAATTTGGTCAGCATTTCTTTCTTTGCTTCAACAAAGGTATGGTATCACCAAGGTCTAGTAGCATACGAGCTCCGTTGTTAAATGGTAGCTATTAAGAGATACTGTTCATATTCTCAGGTTGCAAATCTTCGCCAAAGAGTAGTCATTTCACTCTCTTGAATTGATTAAATGGCACCATCTTCAAAATATTCTTCGGTACCGAGAAACCCTTTGGAACCAACCCCATCCAAATAAGGATCCGTCATGATATCAACCATTTCCGCCCTCTTTCCTGGGTCTAAATTCGTCAATATTAGTATCAATCTCTTCGCATCATCATCAAGATTGGGATAATCAGCATCAGTTCATTACTCAAAAGGTTCATACCCTTCAGCTCACTCCTTATCCTCTTCAATCATTTTCCAAAGGTCTTTAAGGAGCCCGCCTGCTTCCTCATCATCCACATGCTTTACAAGCGCATCTAGAAGCGGCCCAAAGTTCGACAGTAACTTATGCAAGATTACCCGCTCCGGTTCTACAGATAAACTCTTAAAATCGGGGCGAAAGGATTCAACCCCTTGTGAGCACGAAAAGACACTGCAAATAATCATTCTGTTAAAGATTGGGACTCTCCAAGGATTGAATTTGACTTGCCAAAAGTCCGAAAGAAAACACCTCCGAACGCTTTCCTATTCCACTCCCTAGTTGTTCTTCTGGACTTTGCCACATCACGTTTCCTATCCTATGGTTTAGAAGATGCGTGCCTATGAGTTTCAAAGCACAATCTAATTCGCCCAATTGCACCTTTTCGAGGCAGAATTTGGTTTCCATATTGACAAACCAGTCGATGAAAACGGTGTCGGGCTTCACATTTAGAGTATAGGAATAAGTTCAGGAGAGAGCTTTGAGCAAAAGTCGTGAATGAGTTAAGATAGCCTACCAAGGTGTATCCAATTTCTCGCGTACATATCTTTCAATGCCAGGCCAACCTCTTTGAGGATCATATTTCTTGCTTGCAAAGGAAGAAGAGGGCAATCGTTTATCATTTCAAGCACGTTGGATGTGGCATAATCGTAGACAAGTACTCCGCTCTCCTTGTTTTCATCTACATGATGTCGTATTCGACGAACTTTGACGAATTTCTTTTTGTGCTCTTATGAATGCTCAAATATCGAGCGGGTAACAGGCTTCAACAAAAAGGCCATATTGTCCCTCCTAAAGTCTCGCTCAGATCAGCCTGGTACAGGTGGTCATTTTTGCAATGAGAAGCACGGCATGTTGTGATCTTGGAACTCACCCAGAGACCAGATGGATGTTGAACTCCGGTTTCTGTTGGGGTGTTTGTAGATAACACGAAGCGGCTTATATGTCTGACCAGAGCGACCAACGAGTGTTGAGATCATTCTCGAACTCTTGAGAGAACGAGCATGATTTACAATCATGTAATTCACGATTAACATCATATAGGAGATCAACAGAGGTAACAGGAAAGAATATCTCTATAGGTTTACGATGCTCGATAATAAATTTGCTGTAGAAGGATTGAGTGGATAGATAGAGATTGGAGTGTCTTATACTGAGATACAATACGGATTGGAGGGTTTTTGACGAGGTAATCGTTCGAAAAAGACTCCACGGATGCGATTGATACCCAATATCCAAAACAAAAGATTCTCCCAGCATTAGTTTGACTTATCTATTCGAGTAACCAATTTTTTTCCAATGATAGTAACAACCTTGGGCAATGTTAACCTCAGATTTTCGTACTGTCATCGCCAGTTTCATTCCAAGAAAGGGGCAACTGAATCATTGGTCCATCACCATCGTAACGTTGTCACAATGCTTCCTTTTGCCTTTTCTTAAATACAACCTAATGCACCTAAGGGCGCCGTCATGAAGCCATGTCCAATCTGGAGGAAATACACTAGTTTCCAACTACAAGCCATCCCCTAACTTATCTAATGCTCGGCTTTTACATCCCTTCGCTCCAATTCTCCGCTTCCATTCTCATCACAACTTCCACCCCTTTATCCGACTTCCAGACAAACTCTCATGATAGAACGGCACAGCAGCCATCGAACTTTTACGAGATTCGTCACGATATATTACTTGTTTACTCATCTTGACCAACGCATGAATTGACGTTCGAAGTCTACACCTCTAGCGCCGTCACTCGTTCTCTTGGTGAACTATCGGCACGACTTTACTCCACCGCACGAGCCGTCTAACCAACCTTACAACCAACATCAAAAAATTCCAATATCAAAAGATACCTTGATCTATATTTTCTCAGTATGAATCACACAATTGATACGATACTTCTTCTATCTGAAGTCCTTACATCTACTTCGTTTCCCTCCATCCCGCTTTCATCCCATGATCCATACTCACATCCTTCTCCGGATCTCACGGTACTATATAAAATCCTATCCACCATCACAACGCATAATTCTCCATATCACTTCCCCATCTTCCTTCCCTGCACGATTACTATGCCTATTTTTTTGCCATCCTCGATCCCCTCCAGAAATTTCCGTCCCCTGTCTACCATTTTCTTATCGAGACTCTTTATCCCGCCTTATGACTCTCCTAGCGTGTAGCGTGTAGTCATATCTCCTACCCTGTCTCTCGTTCCGGTCCGGCTGCTTCAAACCCTGAATCACGCCATCTCTTCCGAATTCCTCTAGCTTTCCAGCTATATATGTTCTACATTATCCACTCTTCCCAGATCCGACTACTCTAAGCCCTATATCGATATTCCTGCTAAGACCCCCCATTACCTATCACCACCATTCGCATCATTCCAACTTACCAACCACCTCCATATCTCACCCCCTCATCCCTTAACCATACCACACACACTACCAACGGCATAACCTCTCAAACTCACCCCAACCCACTCCATCCACTTCACGCGTCCAGTTTCCTCGCACTCGCACTCGACCCGTAGCAACTAACCTCCATACCCGTGGAATTTTCGGACGAAAGCAAAACGTCCCTTTATTCTCGAATCTCTATCTAACAACTAAACAAACCATGCACCATTGACCTCACACACTCTAACGATTGTAAGTATCTTCATTATTATCATCTGAGCGCTTCTTCTCCGAGGCACTACTTAATCCTCGCACACCCCAACAAAATCTACCAAACATCTCGAAACATATTATACGCGTCTGGTGGTCCGAGGAAAAGCACTCCCTCCACCACTATTATTCGCCATCTCGAAGATTCATATAGGTCTCTAAAAACACAATACATGGCTCAAATAGACTATCGGCACATACTAGCAGAACACGCATGAGCATCCCACAAGCTGATCAGTCAAATCCGGAAATAAACCATCTTCCACACCTCCGAACCATTGCAAGCCCTACCATCCAAACCCACCCATCTCAAAATCTAGGATCATCCAATAATGCTACCCATCAACACAACCGTATAGTCAGCTCATCATGTGACATGTGACATCCATCACAAATCCATCATTGACAAAAATTCAGTCGATAGCATCTAGATCTTCATATTAGCATACACAGATATCAGTAACCCACACCAAAAGATATCGAGATTTCATCTCCATCAATCAATCCCCTTCCCGACATCCCCAGTTTTGTCCCTGCCCCCCTGCCAAGTTCCCTCCTCCATAAAAGTATATTAGATATCCTGTACCTAGGTAGTATACCCTAGCAAAGGATCGATAGAGTATACTATGTATGGTATTATGGTAGGTGTTATTCCTCCGTATACAAGCGAGTCATACATCCATGGTATTTCGATATCTCGATTGGCACAGCTGAGGGTGGTGGGTAGCAGAGGTGGAAAAAGCAATGTCTGATATCTCCTATCGAGATTTAGATTTAGATTTAGACAACACGCTGTGGGAGGAAGCGCAGTCTGCCAATGTATGCAATCCGATTTCTGCTCACAGATCGTAGATATAGAATTACAATCTGAGAAACAATTAATCTCCTAGCTGATCCTATCATTTCCATCTATCTTTCCAAAATTCAAAATATCAAATGTCCAACATTCAGAATGCAAAAAATCAAAACTCAATATGTAGAACTCTTAAGTATATTTCTCATTTCATGTTTCTTCCAAACTCCTAAACTATATTGGCCATTGCACGCCTGGCTATCTGCCTCGCGCCCGCTCCTTTTGCATGCAAGCGCTCAAACCTCATGATAGGATTCTACTCTATCAAACCAATCGCTATGCTACCTAACCTAACCTAACCTATACAATGCTATATACCGCCCGCCACAAAAAATCCCACCTCGATGAAATCCCCAAAGACAAAACCGGTACTCAAACCAATTATTTTTTCCTATTCTGTTTGCGCCTGCCTTTGCCTTCCTAGCCCCCCTAATCTTAAATCTTTCTCCGTCTTCAATATCCAGCTATTTTTCTCTCCTATCTCGTAAAATCATAACACACGCCTGCCTGCAGAAACTCGTCTTGTGCTTATAATAAAGCCCGTCCTGCGAATATGAAAGAAAGCCGTTTTTGTCCCCCCCAAGTCCAAGTTTTCCTTTTCTTTTCCCTAGCTTGTCTGTCCTGCATCTGCCATACATTTCCTAGACCGTCCCACCAACCATTTCCCGACCCAACAACCGAGCTCCAAAAACGAAAGTGGAATGAAATAAGTGAGAGAATACTTCGTAAAGATGCATGGTATCCCGCCAGGCGCCTTGCTACTAGATCTGTAACTGAAAATCTCATTGTCTCCTGCTTCTTAAATGATTGTCTGCCCCGCTCCGCTGTTGTCAAGATAAAGAAAATAAATGCGATCAAATAAAAAAGTATAGTATGTGTATCTGAAAGAAAGTAGAAGAAAAATAGAAAATAAAAAGTCTCTCACCATGTACACTAAATCAAATCATGTAAACACAAACTCGCAGATAAGAAGAAACGAGAACATTGAAGATGGAGCACAAGATAAATAAAATCGTCATATCATAGGACTCAAGCCATCTATCGGACTACCTAAAGCTGATTTCCTCTGATAACGAGGTGTCGACGTAACACTAGGTGTCATTGGTGAAGATTGGTGCGGGTTCGAAGTAATAGAATCGTGGGCTTTTGATTTCGCCATATTCGAAGCGCCGAGTGCACGAGAGTGGCTAGATTCACGTCGGCGTTTCGGGGCATCTTTAATCTTCGGATGAGTGTGACACTGTTAATCATTCATATTAGTCTCAAGTTCGTTTTAATTGCAAGTAGGAAGGAAGTTAACAAAAATCCACTGAACCCAAATTCTCCGATATGAAGTATGAAATCTGGTGTGCGCTCGGACTCTTGAAGTGAAAAGATATGAAACTTACTTTGTAAGCATGTCGGAACCAAGTGGTTCCCTTTTTCTTGCTACTGACTAGAGCTACCCATTCATTACAGCTGCCACACAGACCCTCCCATACATCGGGATTTCCGTCCATGCGTCGCGTTTCTTGCGGCTCTTGAAACGGTTGTCCAGTTGCGGCTGAAATACCATGTGTGAAACTTTTATCATACTGCAGGTCATGTGTTAGTAACAGTTGATTTTGGAAGGGAATTCTGGCCCAAAGCGTCGGAGAATACATACCCAGAATGCGCTATTCTTCAGTACGAG